CTACTCAGGAGGCTGAGGCAGGAGAATTGCCTGAACCTAGGAGGTGGAGGTTGTGGTGAGCCGAGATCGAGCCATTGCACTCCAGTCTGGGTAACAAGAGTGAAACTCTGTCTCAAAAAAAAAAAAAAAAAGATCAAGATGCCTGCTTTCAAGGAGTTAATGATTCACTGGTATAAGTAAAATAAGTACACAATGAGCAACAAGATAGGATCTAATCTGGGCCAGGGGAAACGCGTAATTACTTCCCGTTGATTAATGCTTACTTAGTAGAAAATAGGCAACGTGAAGATGATAGAAACCACTTTGGGAAATGGTAAGAGGAAGTAAACAGGCTGATGGTTTTTCCTAACTAATCAAATTACTTTTATATTACATATGAATGGACCATTAATATGATGTTTTAGGGATTTTTTTCTGACTAGTGGAGTAAACATGATTCCCAGAAAGACAACGGTTAGGAGCACAACAGAGGTACTGCATTACACATGTTTGCAACATAGTATCATACAGCTTTAAAACAAATTGCATGTTTTACAATTTACAAAGTGCTTTCACATTTCTAGTTTTATTTACAAGTTTGTGATGAGGGTCGATGAGCATAATGAATTTCAAAGAGGTAAACTAAGGTTCACAGTAACACATTCCTTCAACAAACTATTATCAAGTGCATTTCAAGTACCAGGCACAGTAGGTACATGCCTTATAGGTGTAGAGTTTACAGCTATGAACAGGACAAACTAGCTTTCTGACTTGACAGATTTTGCATTCTCTGAGAGAAGCCAGACTTAAAACACTCACCCAGAGTTCAGTGAAGACTGAGACCCAGTATAGTCCAGACTCATCTCCCCATATGCAATGTCTTTCATTTCCCTAAAAAGACCTCTCTCCCACCCGAAACTTGACACGTTATCACTTCACTTGGAACTTCATCCTCACTACCCACTTCTTGCTCTGGCAACAACCTGTTTCTCTGTCAGTTTCCACTTAAATGTCACTTTCTCCAGGATTCTTCTCTGGCCACCAGATTAGGTTAGATACCAAAACAGTGAGCACCAATAACATCTTGTCTTAGCATTGATCCTATTTCAATGTAATTACTTGTACACTGAAAGCTCAGAGCAGGGAAGAACCAGATTTATTGTTCACTGCAATATCCCTAATGCCTGGTAGAGCAATAAGCAGATAGACTGCTCTCAAACAATGCTGATAAGAAAAATGAATCTTCATATAAAGATGTATATAAGACAGCTTCCCACTGGATCTGTGGGGAACAAAGAACAAGATTTAAAGTCCAATGTGTGTCTTTAATTCATAGAGCATTTATACAGAGATCCCAATATACCTCAGCACGTAAATATGAATGAAGAAACAGTAGTATTCTTTACCCAAAGCTCCTAATTACCCTGGTTATGATCCTCCGGCTGTATCAAAGTTCATTTGTGATTTTGGAAAGACAGTATTAAAAGAATTAAAATTAAAACTCCTGGTCAGGAGTTCAAGACCAGCCCAGCGAACATGGTGAAATCCTGTCCCTCCTAAAAATCCAAAAAAATTAGGTGTTGTGGCGCATGCCTGTGATCCCAGCTACCCCAGAGGCTGAGGCAGGAGAATCACTTGAGCCCAGGAAGTAGAGGTTGAAGTGAGCTGAGATCACACTACTGCACTCCAGCATGTGCAACAGATTGATACATTTCAAAAAAATAGTAA